CACTTTTACCAAAAAAGACAAAATATCATCAAAATAGATAATGAAGATATCATCATGAAATGAACAAATCTAGAGAGGACCACATTTAGTGCCTATATATGTAATATCAAAGCCATTGTACTTGCGGTTTTTAACAAGAAGTCGAAAATATCACTTTTTACCAAAAATGACAAAAATATTCATCAAAATTAGAGAATTAAAGATATCATCATGAAATGAACAAATCTGAGAGAGGTCCACATGTAGTACCTATATAAGTAATATCAAAGCAATTGAACTTGCGGTTTTTAACAAGAAGTCGAAAATATCACTTTTTACCAAAAATGACAAAAATATTCATCAAAATTAGAGAATTGAAGATATCATCATGAAATGAACAAATCTAAGAGAGGTCTATCCAAGGTACATATACACTTAGTATCAAAGCATTCAAGCTTATAGTTTCAAGAAGAAGTTGAACAAGTAAAACATTGACACGGACGATGGACGACAGACGACGGACAATCACTCATATGATAAGCTCCGCTCGACAAAGTCGACAGCGGAGCTAAAAAAGGGATCCAGTGAACTGCTGATGTCTGGTGAGCATCTAAATCCCTGATTATAGCAGATTTATTGCTCTATATAATAACATTTTATCATTTTATATTACAGTACTGGTACTGTGTTCTGTTATTAACATGCAATAGAAACACAAAAGTTGACAAGTCATTCGAAAACTCACCTTATTTTGTTCCAAGTCCCAACATTTCACCTGTTTATCTTCACCACCTGAGAATAAATATGGCTGCCTTTTACTGACAGCGAGTCCTCGAACTGTACTAACATGTCCTGTTAGGGATAACTTCAATTTACCACTTGCCAAGTCCCATATCTTAATAGTTCTGTCAGCTGACCCAGTGCAGAACCATTCATTGCCAGGCTCCACGGCGACACAACGTACCCATCCGATGTGTCCACTTATGACACGGTACAGTTTCCATGGCGGATGCCATTGTGGTTTTGGTAATGTAGGTGCTTTCAGTGGTACTAATGCATTTGATGTCTTAGGACCTGAGACAGCTACGAGTGCCTAAAGAGTGAAAAAAACAAAATTAGAACAGAATTATGTTGTTTTTCTGGTATTGCGATATATCTATGTGACCACCAACATTAAAATGCTGAACACTTAAATATTTAAATAAATTTTAAATTATTTTAATTTTTCAAAATTGGATCTTTCCTTCCAAACTTTTTTAAAAATGTTACCAAGTGTTATTAAAAACAATATTAGACATAAATGCAGCTCAGAGGCTGTCACATTGAAAAGATATAATTGTGCTCTACTGATGTTATTGAATATTCATGTGCATGTACATGTATATTCAAACTTAAGGGCAAAGTTGTCACAGCCAGAGAGCGATATTTGTCATCACAAAAATGCATACTGGTTGGCAAAGTGTTAACATATGATGTCACAGCCTGATGACATATAACCACTACATGTGTGTGTGACACGCATACACACATAAGTGATCTCAAAGTGTATATGTGTCAAAATAGAGTGGTATACTCACCCCTGGGAGTGTTAGCTCTACCATATTATAATATGAAAACAAGTCATTGAAAATGACAGTCCCCGTTAAGTTCTCTTTGTGCTCGTCATATTAAAGCGAAGGGTTGTTGCGAGCGTGTCCTTGAAACTTGAGTTCCAAGTGTCGTATACAACAGATTGTTCATTTACATCAAAACACGCTTTTCGTGTTGTAGTAATATGGCCAAAATAAAAACTGATCTGATTATGAAACACACTGATATTTTATTTATTTATTTATTTAACACTTTATTTAAAGAGGGTAGGCCAATATACAATAAAGTAACCCTCTGTAGGGACAAAAAACACAATATACACACTATAGGCTTGAGACATTTACAACAAATTTTTCACGAAGATAAATTTTGTAAGTTTTCTTAAAAATGCCTAAAGAGGCTGAATTTCTGATATGGAGTGGCAAGTTATTCCATAGGGTTACCCCTCTATACTGAAACGTCCTCTGACCCATGGATTTTTTCCATTTAGTAATGCGTAAATTATTTTTTAGAGAGAAACGTGTACTATACTTGTGGGTTTGGGAGATAGGACTGAACATTTCACTTGTATATAAAGGTGCCAAGCCATTGGTTGCCATATACATTACGATACCTAGAAAATATGAAATTCTGTAATCGATAGGCAAGATACTATGTTTTTTGAACAGTTCAAACAACGATTGGCTAAAGTTGTCAGAGGAAATCACACGAACTGCCCTTTTCTGAAGCTTATACACCCGACATAAATTTGATTGACTTGTATTGCCCCATACTATACAGCAATAGTCCAATAAGGACTGAATAAATGAAAAATACAATGTTCTTCTGACGGAAATAGGTAAGAAGTTACGAACTCTTTGGCTAAGCTTTTTACAAAGCATATCAACATGATGATCCCATGATAGTTTTATCTAAAACCACCCCAAGCGACTTTTTGAAACTGACTGTTTTAATTATTTCACCAATGAATTTAACCAAAAAGTCTTCACCAATATTATTTAGCTTTTGACGAGATCCAACAAGCATAGATTTTGATTTAGATGTGTTGATTGACATGTAATTGCAATTAACCCAACGCAAAATTGGCCAAACATCATCATTAATGCACTTTGTGACTACATTGATACTTGGACCAGATGATAACAGAGTTTGATCGTCCACATACATATCAATGGAACCGTTTTCAAGAAATAATGGTAGGTCATTAATAAATAGAAGAAATAATAATGGTCCTAAAATCGAACCCTGTGGTATATGTATGATGTATGTGCCAAATACAAATGAAAATGTACATAAATTGTGGAAATATAGTAGTAAGGCCAAAAGGTCAGATGGCTGTCAATCGGCCATCCTTGACCAGATTTTGAAACAAATTGTCATGGACATGCATCTTAACATGTATAAAGTACATGTATGTGCCAAATTTGAATGAAAACTGACAGAGCACATCCAAGATACCACATTAAAAAACAAAAACAAGATGCCTGCCAGTCGACCATCTTTGATCCAATTGCACAATAAATCGCCATGGACATGTATCTGGACATGTACAATCTATGTACCAAGTTTAAATGACAATTGACAAAGCATGTTCAAAATACAACATTTTCAAAAAACAAGATGGCTGCCAGTCAGCCATTTTGAATCGAATCGCTAAACCACTGCATGTGCATATGTCCCACATAAGGTACTAGGCACATGCAAAAAATGAATGGAAACGGTCCACAGGATTCTGAAATATGACGTTGGACAGACTGACGCATGGACAGATGGACGGTCGGACAGACTCAGGAACTCACGGACGGTCGGGGACATGTATCCTAACATGTATGATCTATGTACTAAATTTGAATGAAAACTGACAAAGCATGTCCAAAATACGACATTTTCAAAAAACAAGATGGCTGCCAGTCGGCCATTTTGAATCGAATCGCTAAACCACTGCATGTGCATATGTCCCACATAAAGTACTAGGCACATGCAAAGAATGAACGGAATCGGTCCAAGGGATTCTGAGATATGACTCCGGACAGACGCATGGACGGAAACCGAATTATAAGTTCCCGTTTTCGGACTTTGTCCGAAATGGGACTAATAACCACTACATGTGTATGTGACACGCATACACACACAAGTGATCTCAAAGTGTATATGGGTAAAAATAGAGTGGTATACTCACCACCAATGGGAGTGTTAGCCCTACCGTATTATAATAAGAATAACCACTTTTAAAATTAAATTAGTATAATTTATACCAATTTACCGGTAATATTAAAGGTAATTCTCAGACACATATATAACTTTAAAGCACCAAAATGTTCAAACATGATATACAATCCAAAACATTTAATTTGTAACCAGAGTTACATGTAATTTAAACAGGCTCTAGATTATACATTAGATACATCATATTTCGGCATTGCGAGGTCTATCCATGTAGTTATTTGTTATTGATGTTATCAGTTGTGTTTCAAGAATTGACAAAACTCCCAGGTTCATGAGTGAGCAGACAGCAATCATATTTTTGATGATGTTCGTGCCATTCTGAAAAAATAATTTTCTCATGCAACTCTTTTTATCACAAAACACCGAAGGGTTGTAATGTTTTTCATTATGATATACATTTATATCGCAAAATACTATTTTTACTTGACAGTAGGATTTACCCTTACTGCATGTTATTAATGTTTTGGGCCTAGTTCCAAACCGTGGTATTCATGTTTTGGGCCTACTTGAAAACCGTGTTATTCCTGTTTTGGGCCTACTTCAAACCATGGTATTCATGTTTTGGGCCTACTTCCAAACTGTGTTATTCATGTTTTGGGCTTACTTTCAAATCGTGGTATTCATGTTTTGGGCCTACTTCCAAACCAAAGTATATTATCTATTTAACCACAGCTTGCATAACTGAAAACACTGTTCACAACATAATCATGCCATTGAAATGCTGGTATAATATAATTCCTTATAATCTTTGCTATGATTTGGTATGATTGTTTGCAATCAACAGGGCCTTGTTAAAAAAACAAACAAACAAACTCAGTCTGTATTTACGTACCCTTGATCCCTGTGCCAATCTTTCTGCCTGTTGTCGAATTTCTTCTACACTGGCTGCTGTTCTTTCTCTAGCAATCCTGAAATTGTGTACCAGTGAAATTTGTATATAATTTGCATATCACATGCACAAACAGTAGACAAATGTATTGGCAATTGTGAACAGTGAACTCAATCTTGAATACTGTAAAATACTTTTTAATCACCTAGAATTCAGTTTTACTATTTACTCTTTTCCTATATTCTTACTGTATATGTCAAAATTCAGTGAACATAAGCTGCATACAAAACAATTCAGTGAAAATTCAGCTAAACAAAATATTTTACAGTACATGATCACATTCCAGTAAACCAGTAAACACAATCTCAGTATTGATGAGTCTTTTTGGCATTTGGAGAGCTCAAAGATGACTGCCAGTAACCCTTTTTTGATTGATGGTGGATGTGTAGTTGAAGTTAAGGCATGTCTATATTTATTATACGGTATAAGGATCAGGAACTGCATCTTTAAAATAAAATAGCCACCAGTCGGCCATTTTGAACCCAATCCATAACATAAAATGACATGCATCAAGGTCCCAATATGTTAAATGTATGTACCAAGTTTGAATAGAATCCATGCATGACTGAGATTCAGTTCCCGAGTGGTAAAAATGATGCATTTTTGGCCTTCAAATGGCTGACATTCAGCCATCTTGAATGGGGTCATGGAACAAAATCATATGCATATACATGTATATGATATAATGTCTGGTGTATATGTGAAGTTTGGACTTAATCAGTCTAAGCATGTGTATGAATAATACATCTCAATAGTATCAATAGAGGGCAATCCTTAAGTCCTTGTTTTCTGGCTGTCTGAATGAGACCAAAAATTACTCAACACAAAAAGTGGAAGTGTTAAAGTTCAAATGGTTCAATACAATGTAGGCACATGTATTAATCTGATACAAAATTTGGTCTATTACAAACGCACAGGACTGTATTTCTATTGAGAAAATATATTATTTTTTAAAGATATACATGTATTATACAACAAATGTAATTTGATTTATTTGCACTTCTATTTTAGATGTGCTTCTGATAGAACAAATATATATTACAAGAAGCATGTATTCCATTTGATTATTTAGGATATCTTGTTTATGGGGAAAAAAGAAATAACTGGGTTAACTCACTGAGCTTGGGATGCTGGCAATGACCCCATAACTTCTTGTATTCCTGTTTCTGTTGATTAAACATGATAAGTAAATATTTATTGTTCTTATTGAAGACATAAATGCATAATGTAATTAAATGTGTAACAATCATACATGTGAAGGTTTATGTGGTCAGCTATATTCTATTATTTTCATTACATGTACTACAGTAATTGTATCACAAGGATTTATTGAATGAGGATATAAAGATCAATGAAGTAAAATGAATTGTAAAAACATCAAAAAAGAACGAACACATAGAATCCTATACTGTCAATAATAGACCTGATTATCTGAATTCAAACCAAGCTTTCAGTGCATTCTGTGATGGTTTTTTAGAAATGCATTTGAGTGAATTGTAAAAAGTATGTGATCTTTATTGCATATGATTGTACATTTGAGTGAATTGTATGGAGTATGTGATCTTTATTGCATATGATTGTACATTTAAGTGAATTGTATGGAGTATGTGATCTTTATTGCATATGATTGTACATTTGAGTGAATTGTATAGATTATGTGATCTTTATTGCATATGATTGTACATTTAAGTGAATTGTATAGAGTATGTGATCTTTATTGCATATGATTGTACATTTGAGTGAATTGTATAGAGTATGTGATCTTTATTGCATATGATTGTACATTTGAGTGAATTGTATAGAGTATGTGATCTTTATTGCATATGATTGTACATTTGAGTGAATTGTATAGAGTACATTTTGGATGTGATCTTTATCGCATATAATTACATTTGATACATGTATCTAAGTTACATATCCTTATCTTGATAATAATGTTTCTTTAGAACAATAAACTTGAATATTACCTATTGTCGGGGCATACGGGTGGCCAGGAGCTACACGTGCAGACATTTCTTCTCCTACAGGAAGAGTATAATTAAAGATAATGCTTAACTGTACTATTTGGGAGTCAGAAGAGGAAACATGTAAAGATGTTTTGGGAAAGTCTCTACAATTTTCATATTATTGCACATGTGGCACAGATTTTCATATATTTGAACTGTAAGTAACTACAAAACATGGCATAATTTTAGATTTAATAACAAATGAATTGATACAAACTAACAATGCACAATCTTTCTTTGCATGAGTATAAAAGTCCTGAAACATTTGCAATAATATCTTAAAAGTTTGCACAGGAAATATTCACGAAAATTTAGATGGGCACAATTCTGACTGTTTCTCAAATACATGTACATGTAATACAACATACATGTATAAAGTTAATTTCAATGTTCCTTATAAAATAATATAATATGGAACATATAAAAATTCCCCAAAATAATAATACTGTAATATAAGGGAATTAAAATACTCGTCAGATTTGAAAAAAAGCGTAATGAAAACGGAACATTTATTTACTACAATATCAAATTGACAAAGCATGGGAAGCAGATTACTAATAATTCATTCTTATTATCAGCTGTATAAATGTCTTCATTCTGTTCACTAGCTTTACAGATGTTTTATTTCAGCCACATACAAATTATGTTATCCCAAACTGGTTAATATTACATTCAAGTTAAAAAGAAATGTTCTTTTTTTACTAATCTGACATTTTCTCGGTTGCCTATGATGTATATCAGTCAGACAATGACAAGTAAGTATATGGGTCAATAAAAATCAAATAGGAAAATTTATATACATTTATTTATATACACTTTATTTATATATTTTAAAAGATTCAACCCTAAACACAGTACACGCATATATGCATTAAATAACTAAAAAACACCCCTTTTACATGTTTTTTAGTTCAGCTTGAGTACTTAAGTACCCCAGCAATCCTTATACAGCAGCATCCACAGGGCAGTAAATTATACATTTTTTTCAATATCATAGTAAGACATACAGCAAAAACAAAACACTACTGTAAAATCTGTATTAAAAGCCGTGGCTTCTATTAAAATGTTACAATGCAACAGAGGGGATGCGGCTTCTATTAGAACATCTACACATACGAAAAATGATGAATTTTTGGTTCTCAATTGTTCAAAAAGTATGGGTGCGACTTCTATTAGGGATGCAGCTTCTAATACAGATTTTACGGTAATTCCTTTCTCACCTGGATGTTCTCTGATTGGTGCATGGGTTCTGGCATGTGTTATTTTATTTACTTCTTTGGGTATTGGTAAATGCATTACAGGTCCATACTCGTCACGTGCCTTACAAGCCATTTTCAACTTCTCTCTAAGAACACAGTAAATCAACATCAGATAATTAATCAAACATGTCAACTTGATGATGAAATACTGGGTTTGGTTTAGTGTTTATAATATGCTATGTTCACAGGGTAGCATTCTATCGGAGCCGAACTACTGCTCCTCCCATGGATTACCAGGAGATTATCTCCAATGCGTTCATACGGTCAGGCCGAACGAGAGCCAATTTTTGTTAGAGTTCGCTTCAGTTTGATCAGAGTCAAACGGAACAGTACCCTCAAATAATTAGTATGAAAAAAAATGGACTGAAAACGATTTTGGTGTCATGCTTGTGTTATTTTTTTACATGGCACGATGCTGTTGAGATATGAAGGTAGAAAAGACAATCTCGAATCCATGCTCGAATAAACAGGAAACATGGCAGCTAAAATGTGATACAGCCTATTATTCGCTTAAGTTATTGTTACCATTTTGTAATTATTCAACTGTAGTGATATCTAAACTACTAGGAAGAATCACAGTCCCTCTATCCTCTCTATCTATCAAAAAGGGACTCTGGAAAAATCTAAACCTACTAGGAACACGTCACCGTACCGTGATAGCTTCTTCGATTTTTATCTTTAGTGTCATTAAAAAGTTCCCGTTCAGTCGTTCTTTCAAGTTTTTGTCACATAAGTTTGTACGCCATTTTTTCTATTTCCCGTTGAGCTATCAATCTATCGCAGTAATTCTTTACTCTGCCAAATATATATTAGGATACGTACCTCTTCGTCAAGCCGGAAATTGCGTGAAAATTATGAAAGATGTTGTCTCCGCCATAATTGAAATGAGAGGTTACTTGAAGAAGACGATTGAGGGCGTGATTTGGGCTCCGATAATAAGCCCCTGATGCGTATACACGGTCAGGTCATGTCGGAGCTCAACCCTATTAGAGTTCAACCCCAAGGGTTTATCAGAACCAAACCTGGCTCGAGCCGTAGGGCTCCGATAAAATGCTATCATGTGAACGTAGCAATAGTCATCAAGCATTACAATACATGAGGTTTATTAATCCTGAGGATGTTTGATTTAGACAAACAAATGAAATAAAAAAGACAAATTAAAGTAGTGATGAGGCAATGAAATAAACTTCTATGGGATTCACATCAAAATGTATACGATGGAATCATTACAGCAAGATTGATTTAAATTATGCAAGCCATTTCAAATTACGTTTTTAAGATGATGGACTATAGAGTAAGTATCTAGATTTCTAGACGATCCGGCCCTGGTAAAAAAACGACGTTCCGGCCCTGGTTTGGACGTTCCGGCCCCAAAACAGTTTGGTCGATCCGGCCCTGGTATAAATTATCTTCGATACGTGTTCATGTCTAATTTTAATATATTAAATACACGAATGTTTGACTATCTTGTTTAACAACTTATTTTTCGTCTTTTGCAAGGCATTTTTTACGATTTAACACCGTGTTTGACAGTGCAACAGATGTATGTTCATTTATTCGCCGCCCCCTGCGTGAACCGCAGACATTAGTATACACATCTAATACAATCTGTTTTTGTCAGGGTTCGAATGCACATTCGTGGTTTGTCGCGTAATGAACGTTAATACATGAAATGCACAACGAACGTATGACTATCTTATTCACAACTTATTTTCTGTCTTTTGTGGCACTTGACAGAGTTCATGGAAAGAATGTAGCCATTTAGCACAATGCAAGGATCGTACACATCTTCCGTTCGGGCATGGTGTCAAAGTACAGACAATCATTGAAATGGTAATGAGGAGTGTAGCAAACAGGTCACTTGACTCCAGCGACAACTTGTCAAAGCACACACAAATATTTAAATAATAATTCCCTATGGAAACACATTCAAACGAACAACAAAAATGCGGACCCTGAGCGGAACTGAAATGTATTGCTCAACAACCAGAAGCACAACATGCAAAGAAACAGTTAATTTGTTTATTTACTGATAGACCAAAATTTTGTCTGCCTACATAAAC